TGGCCGGATGTGGTCCAGGGGCCACCCTGGGGACAGTATGGGGGCTGGACAGCCTGTGTCACCCCATGGCGCGCTGGCCCGTGGGGACAGCAGGGTGAGACTGGCCCGGGCTGATCCCACAGCCACCCAGCCCCTGGCAGGGCCAGGACCACCCCAGGAGGGTGCCAGCTGTGTCACCAGGGCCAGCTGTGTCACCAGTGCCCTGCCTTTGTGTCTCTGCAGTGTGTCCACGTCCCCGTATGACTATGAGATCAGCAAACCCCTGGGGCGGGAGAACTACAAGGAGATGTACCTCTTCATCTACAGGTGATGGGGCTGGGTGTGCTGCCCCCTGTCTCGTGGCACAGCAGGGCCACTGATGCCACGGAGGGGACACACAGGCCACGCCAAGCCCCAGGGTCACCATCCCCTTTGGTCCTACAGGACAGATGTTGTGTCTGTGGTGGGTACCTACCAGTACGAGGACCCCCAGGATGTCTTCAGCCGGGAGCCCTTCATCCTGAGGGTCTCAGCGCCCCACACCAGTAAGTGGGAGGATGGGTGGCCCCAGGTGGTGGCAGGAAGTGGCCACAGGGTTGACATCCCTCTCTCCTGGCAGAGGCGAAGGAGTTTGTGCTGGTGCCACTGCACTCAGCCCCCCACGACGCTGTCGCCGAGATCGACGCGCTCTACGATGTCTACCTGGCCATTGTCAGCAAGTGGGAGACTGATGTGAGTGTCCCCAGCACCAGGGGTGGCACCGAGGGTTGGGCACTGAACCCTGGGGACCAGAGCCTGTGCTGGGTCCCTGCTCCAAGGCATGGCCAGTGCAAAGCTGGTGGGACAAGGACCCTGCTCCTGCCTCATTCCCCTGCCTCAGGGGATGCCCTGGTCCCCAGGTAGCCCCTCTCCCCACCTCCATGAGCCCCCCCCATCTCCCCTCTGCAGAACATCATGTTCCTGGGGGACTTCAACGCCGACTGTGCCTACGTGCAGGCAGGGGACTGGTCCTCCATCCGCCTGCACACCAGCCACCTCTTCAAGTGGCTGCTCCCCGAGGGCACCGACACCACCGTGGGGAGCTCGGACTGCGCCTACGACAGGTGAGTGTCACCTGCACTGCTGCCCCCTCCCCGAGCGCCCCTGGGGGTGCTCTCAGCCTGAGAGCAGGGGCAGGAGAGCAGGGCCCAGGGTCCACTTCTCCCTGGCAGGATCGTGGTGTGCGGGGCCAGGCTGAAGAGGAGCATCGTGCCCAACTCCGCCGGCGTCTACGACTTCCAGCGCGCTTTCCGGCTGAACCAGGAGGAGGTGAGCTGGGATCCCACACCCGTGGGATCAAACAGGCACCCAAGCTGAGCTGTCCCAGCTGTGAGGAGGTTTGGGATGAGGCAGCCCCACAGCCACGGAGCTGCTGCGTTGAAGGATCAGTTAAAAAATGGAGCTGAAGCAGCTCCAGCTGCAGCCCCAGGTGGCTCTGCCCGGGGTCTGCCTGCTGGGATGCAGGGGGAGGGACATCATTCATTGTTCCCTCCCAGCCAACAGGGAGCTCAGGGTGTCAAGGGACACATGGGTGAAAGCAGGGGAGGGATTTGGGGTCGCTGTTGCTCCCTGTGGGGAAGAGAGGAGACACACAGGGGTTTGTGTGGCCTTTCCAGGACCCTAATCCAAGCCCATCTTCCACCACCCAGCGGTGGCACAGAGCTCCCAAACAGGACAGAGGGGGGCTCAGAGGGCAGGTGCCCCCCTGGCAGTGCCTGCCCTAGGCTACACCTGGGCACCTCTCTGTGAGAGGTGCCAAAACTGAGCCTCGTGTGTTGAGTGTCTTGGGGCTGAGGACACTGTGTCCCCCTCCATCGGGCAGAAGGTTCTGGCAGGGCAATCACAGCCACCCTGCTGGAGCACCAGGAGGGGTGAGTGCCTCACCAAACCCTTACCTTACACCTCCCCACCTCTTGCCCTCCTCCAGGCCCTGGCAGTCAGTGACCACTACCCAGTGGAGGTGCAGCTGGCACCTGGAGCTCCTCCTGCAGCCACAGACCACAATCCAGCTCCAGCTCCCACCACAAGCCCCCAGGAAGGTGCTCATCCATGAACCCTGTGCACGGGCTGCTCTATGTCCTGGTCTGGAGAAGGGTCCCAGCCAAGCTGCTAACCATGCCCAGACCCCCCCAGCCCACCATGGCTCATGGCAGAGCTCCCTCAGCCCACCACAAAGCCTGGGGACAGGCCACCCCATCACTGCAAGCGGTGACCGGAGACAGGCTGAGGAATGAAACACTCACCTCCTACCTCATCAAAGACTTTATTGACAGACCTCATTTCACAATTAGGTGTCAGACAGGAGGGAGGATGCCCAAGGACTGGTGGGCTGGGGCCACAGCAGCATCAAGACCCTCTCCCTGTCCCGTTTCCCGGGGGAGCCGAGGGGGCAGCTCTCCCTGCTGTCGGGAAAGGCAGCGGTGGTGACAGGCACTCTACGGGGACCCAGGGGCAGGAAGGGGTGGTCGGGGTGGCCACAGGAGCAGGCAGCACCTCACCAGCTGCTGGCACTGCAGATGGCTTCACTGTGAAAGTCTTGCAGCTCCTGCAGGGCTTCAGAGGGTCGCTTGAGCTCCTGGGACCGGTCCCCAGGGCAGCTTGGCTCCTCAGCCCTTCCTCTTCTTCAGCATCTCCATGTACATGCGAAGGGACTTCTGGATGGACTCTTTGGAGATGAAGGTGATGAAGTTCTTAATATCTTCCTCCCGGTGAGCTACCAGGCGGTCCAGCACTGCCTTCCTCATCATGGACTTGGTGAGCTGGCGGGCATGGTCTGCAGAGAGGAGAGCAAGGATGGGGAACGTGCACAGTCCTCAGCCCTGACCAGCTCCCAGCCACTGCCACCACGTGCAGGTGCCTCCAAAGGCAGGTACCACACACCAAAGGGCTCTTCAAACCAGCAGGGAAAGGGGTAAGAAAAAACCCCACTGGCTGGAAGCTGAACTGGGTAAATCCTCACACAATAAATGATGATTTGTCCTGCTCAGTGAGGGAACGACTGATCTGCTGGGAGGGATGACAATGTTGTGCATCTCCTCCTCTTTGTGCCCTCCAGAGCCCAGCCTGGGGTGGCCTAACACACACTGCTGGGCTCAGGACAGGAGCAACCAAATGAAATTCTCTATTTGAAACTGCTCTGGCTCTGAGCTCCCTCAACCCAACCCCTTGGACCTCTGGCAGGACAGTCTGCTCAGGCCACACAGGCTGTACAAAGCCAGAGGTGGGTTGGCAGCCCCCTCAGCACTTTGCCCAGCCTGTTCCCTCAGCTCCTGGGGTGACACCTCCACTGACAGGGATTCAGTTTGTATCTGGAGCTCAGGCACTGCTGGATTGACTCTGCAGGGCTGGCAGGGCCAGCTGAGCTGCAGCCACGTGCCCTGCACACCCAGCACCGTGTCCTCCTGTGCTGAGGCACTGACAGCCCAGCCCTGTCAGCCCAAGGCTGCCCAGGCTGCTGTGCTGAGCATTCCCACCTCCTCCCCATCCACACCTTCCCTTTGAGTGGACAACATCACGTGCAAGTACCAGCCCCTCCCACCCAGACCAGATCCCCCCTTCCTCTGCTGAGGTGCTGCCCTTCACAGAATCATGGAATGGGTTGGGAAGAGACCTTGAAGACCATCCAGCTCCAACCCCCTGCATGGGCAGGGACACCTCCCACCAGCCCAGGCTGCTCCAAGCCCCATCCAACCTGCCCTTCAACACTGCCAGGGATGGGG